ATAATATAATATAATATAATATAAACAAAATACAAATTATATATATATATATATTTACATACATACTTGAATTTGCTAGTCTCAGGCGTCGTCGCCGCCACCGGGGCCTAGTCTGAGGCTGGAGCGCACCCTGGAAAGGACCGACGCGTTCCGGAACGTCGCGAAACTTGGCACAGACTGGACTTCATCAGACTTAGCACAAACTTGAACATGAATGCTCTGAATAATCATGGCTGTTTGCATGGGTTATTTAATTAATGTACTCTCATGTTGGGATGACCCACGCAATAATTTTAGTTAGTTATCTGTCTAAGGCACGAGATTATTGAAGACCTGAACGTCGGCTCCAGCATCGCGGACCAGCTGGGTCGGGTGGCGAACCCTCTGTGTCAGGCGTTGCTGCTGTGCCTCGGATTGACCAATCATTTGAAGTGTTGTTGTCCACTGCACCTGTATGTGTGTCTTTTTGTGTTTGTGTGTCTCTTTGCTCATGGTCTCCTGAGCTGTCGACTTGAGGCTCCAGGGGATGGCCGGCCGTCACAGGACGGAAAACGAGCCGCTGGACGCATGGTTGCTCATGCAGCTGAGCCAGTTGACGCTGGCAGAACAGCCTGGTCAGCGGTCTGGTGACGGGGCTGCTCAGGACGAGGACCAGCGTCAGTCCTGTGCGCGTGTTGAGCAGCGTGAAGTGCACTTTGACTCTGAGCCCTGAGGAGGACCACGGCGACCAGGGTCAGCCCCGTGCTGACCAGGGTCAGCCCCGTGCTGCTGGCCAGAGTCAGCAACGTGCTGACCTGCGTCGGAGTCGGTATGGGCAGCAATCTGAGCCGCGCGGCGACCACATCCTGGACCCGTGGGATGAAGACTGGTGGCACCAAGACCAGTAGTCGCACCAGTCACCAGGGTCCGTAGTCAGCCAGGGTCCGTACTCAGCGTCGGCATTCGCCGGCCTTTTTTGGTCTCAGCCTGCAGAGTGTCTCCGATGCCGCCGGCTCTTAGAAAAAAATTAGAGTCTAGAGTCTGCAGTCTAGAGTCGTAAAATACTTACATGCCCGGTTTTGCAAGTTGACTTAAGGACTAGCTGTTGCTTCGTCATTCATTGGCGAGCCCTTTCTGCGAGACACTCTGTCGTCGGCGTGTGATCGTTAATTATGCTGAACAGAACAGCTTCACAGCTGCTGTTCCTTCTCGGATCAGAGTCCCGCCAGGCTAGACCTGCTGAAGCAGCACTTGGCAAAAACGTTTTTCGCGTTGCTTCTGTCTGTTTGTTGTACTGTACTTGCACTGCAGCCAGCATCGTCCATGCAAGCGCACGGGGTTGCCACCTTGACCAGATGCTCGAATTCTCTTTGCCTGCGCAGGTGCTCTGGCTGGTGTCGACAAACACAAGGCAGCCCGGCGAAGGGCAGCCGTTGCTTTTTGTGCAGGGCTTTCCATCTTTAGTCTGCCTTCCGTCGTCGATTCGTATGTAGTCAGTAGCAGAAGCAGTGGTTGGTCGGTGTCAGCATGACAGCTGGTTTTCAGTCTTTACCTGCCTCGTTTGCCAGGTGCTTGGGGCCGGATTGACAGCCAGCAGGAGCTGTGATTCATGTCCATCGGTCGGTTGCAGGTTCAAGAGTCAGAGTCTCATGTGCTGCGTTGCATGAGTGGACAGCCCTACATGAATGAACTGGATACAGCTGTTTCTGTGGAAGGAATTTCCTGGGACACTCCGATGATGCCTTCATGAGCAGTGGCCCCTGCCTCGGACTAAACCAGACTGCATCGCACCCTCTACGACAGTCAAGATCGCAGCAGCGTCCAAGTGTAATGTTTCGTTGCAAGTCGGTTTCTTGTGTCGTTCGAAGTGCAGCGCCATGTCATGTTACAGTTTCCATGTCAGCGTCAGATTCACTGCCTGTTTGGGCCGTGCGCTCGCTCAGATCCCTGTAGCCTCTGACTGAGTCTCAGTCAGTGAGCGCCCTTAGGTCAGAGTCTGGAATCGTCGGGACTTAAGTACGGTAGTCAGCCATGCCCGCCACCGAAGCCCGGCAGGCAGGATACTCACTCCCACATCATATTTTTTGAGCATTGCAGTAAATACTGCCTGCCTGATGTTCATTTTCTGCAGGAGGTTCATGCTTTGAAACAACGACGTTGCCATGCTCGTCAGACGAAGAAGAAGGAGAGTTAAGTGCTAAGCAGTGACTTGCGAGAGCATCTTGATCACGAAAATCGCAATGAATTGTGAATGATCTCGTCTGGCTGAAGCAGGAGAAGACGACGACCCCGGCCCCGGCTGCGTTGCCTGCGTCTGTGTCAGCCGTCGGGCCAGTCAGACGATTTACTCACAAGGCCCACGTCGGGGTCGATGGTCGTCCTCAGGTGCGGCTCTTCAAATACCGGATGTTGCTCAAGGGGCCGATCCCCGAGCTCCGTCTAATTACTATATAATTCATGTATATAATTTATTATTATTATTTACTCAATGCAGCATGGGTCATTCGCCCTACAGGTTGCCAAAGGCAAGTGGAACAAGAACAAGAAATATGCCAGGCGGGTCGAAGACAACATCCGGAAAGCTCAGAAGAGAGGAATGGGGCCGGCGATCCCAATGTCAAAGTTCGGGCCGGTGGCCATCGGCTGCCTGAAGTCGGTGTCGGAGAACGTGGACAAGATCGCTCCAGACGCTTTGCTGGCCTTGCGGACAGCCGCGGAGGCCAGCTTTCACTACAATCTTGAGACTGTCAGAGACAGAGAAGCATCATTATTTCGATCATTGCTAAGTTGTACCGAGTCAGAGGTGAGTGAGTGGCATCGGGGCGGGATTGAGTCGTGTCGTGTTCCTGTTGTTGTATCGATCCCTTGCCCACAGGCTGTGGCTGTGGACATGCTGTCTGCTGTCCAAGGCTTGGCGTCGCACCGCAAGAAGGTCGCGCCGGCTGAGGAAGACTTCGGGGCTCTCAGCGTCGCCGCCGAGTTTTTGAATCCTAGTTTGCAACGGGTCATGGTCGACAACCTCGACAAAAAGAGACGGGTGACCCTGCCGCAGCCCAAGAACCCGCAGCGCTTTCACAAGAAAGTGAAGTGGTGAGTCGGTGTCGGACGGATTTTACTGGTGAGTTTTGTCAGTGTCTGTCACTCAGACTGTCGGTTCAGCTAGCTGGTGTGCTGTTTGCCGTCACGTCGTGCCCTGGCCGCATGGGAGAAATGTACATGAGTGAAGTTTTAGACATGAGCTTCATAACTTAATTTCGCAAAGAAAAGACATGCTAGGCCAGACGCTGACAACGATTGTGCAGATGGGCACTCTGTTATGTCAAGTGCGATGAAAAAAAATGCCTTGTGTACTGTAGTCAGTCTGTCGGTCAACAAGTGCATCATCTGACATGAGCCATCCTACTTATGTTTCTTGGCCGCCCAAGGTGCTGGGCTGCAGCCGGCGAGATCAAAGAGGCCTGATGCAGATGTTACCACGTGTTTTGCGTGCCGCTTCTAGCTTGACTGACTGTCTGTCGGACATGTACATGCCACGGCCGATTGCGAGTGCCTCCGTGCGTTTGCTGTCAGCTCATCAGCCTTGTCAGTTTTGTCAGCCACGACCCTTGCCGTCCTTCGATTCGTCAGTAGTCATGGCTGCTGGTCGATCCATGGAGCTCTTCGCCATTGGGTTGCGAACCGACGGCTACACCCCGGAGCTCGCCGGCATGGAGTTTTACGACAGTGTGGACACGGCCGTCGCGATGGGAAAGAGGACTGCCAGCCGTCAGCCACGTGGTTTGCATTGGTTGAGTCGCACCCATCTGAACGAACTAAAACTAGGGTCCAGGGTTTAGGATTCAGGTTGTAAGTTTCTTGAGGCTTGACTGCTGTCATATTGCATTTTCAAGGCTGGGCTACCGCCTCACCGAGGGCGCACCGCCGAAGGGCCTGCCCACGCGTCGGTCGGGGTTGGAGGCGGTGAGGACTTTGATTAGGTGTGGCGAGATCAAGATGATCAGTGTCAAAGTCAAGCACTACCAAGAGGCCTTGGAGTCAGGGGTCCTCAAGATCAGCTCCAGCTCTCCTCCGGTGTCGCACTGCTTCCAGCGTCAGCACGGCAAGCCGCTGACGACGATGTGTCAGAACGGTGACTTCCTCGTGTCCGACTTGAAAGTGACGGTGTCGGTGCTGCAGGGCTCGGCTTCGGCGTCATACGGTGTCGATGAGTCAGGCGTCGATCAAGTTCATGATTTGTTCGTTTCACTCTCTTGTTAACTGTAAATTTAAATTAGAAGCACGACTTTAGTCGTGCACTATTATTATTCTTATCTATACGGTAGACTCGATCCATTCCATTGGGTTTCGTTCTGAGTACTGAAAGTACGGTATTGTCATTGAAGCCTCGCTGTTTATTATTTTGGGACCAAGGGATTACTTGTATTGTATTGTCGGACATGCAGGTTCTGAGCTTGTGTCGGTTCCTGCTGTCGACCAGAGACAGCAGCAGCATCGCCTGGTGTATTACAGCATTATGAGCAGCCAGACCGCATCCTGCGCCAGCGTCCACGAAGCGCTCTTCAAGAACATGGTGAAGACCATCCCCGGGCTCACGGACAATGCGTCGGAGCACACGGTGCTCTTCTCTGACTTCGCAGCCGCGCCGTTGCTGGCTTTCTGCGTCAGCGGCGGCGAGACCCAAGAGTGCCTAGCCCAAATTACTTAATAACGAAGCCTTAAATAAACCCTACGCCTTAAACTTAAGCCTTAGAAATCCCCAGGCCATGAGCTCCCGGAGCAAAGGTTTGTGAGGTTTAGGGTTTTAGGGCTTAGGGTTTAGGATTTAAGGTTTCGAGTTTAGGATTGTTTAGGGTTCTAGGGTTTTTTGTGGCAGTTAACAATTCGCCTTCATTGCCGAGGATGCTGCTGGACCGGTATGTCGCGGAGGAGTTGCCGACCCGCTTCAAGCACGTGCCAGTGTCAGCATCGCCACTTAGCGGCTTCTGGGCGGTCAGGGCCTCTGTGTCAGACCTGCCGTCGGCCGGTGTGGAGCTGGCAGGCCGGCTGTCGACACGTGTCAAGGTCAGTGTCACGAGTCGCCAGTCCCGGGAGACTACGAATGACCTGGTCCGTGAGCGTCAGATGGAGCAGGCCCTTAAACCCTTACCCCCTATGAGGGAAAGCAAGTTTGTTTTCTTAATATAAATAGTGATTGGAATTGATTGCTCACCCCGACCCTAAACCCTAAACCCTAAACCATCCTTGCCGAGTCGATCTACAGCGTCGACTCACGCATCGAGGCGATGGAGGAGGAGATCGCCCTGCTGAAGTCGGACAGGGCCAGCTTGCTCCGCATGATGTGGGAATCAAAGCGCCGCCGCATGGAAAAGGCCAGGACAAGGGATCCAGTGTCCGGGTTTTCGGCCGCTTCACATGATAAATGTTCGGTACGCATGTTTTTGGGGTTTTGCACCTTTGTAATGACCAAGCCAGCTGAAAGCCAGGAGGAAGAGTACCGGGCGTCGGAGCACAACATGTCGGAAGAGCACCAGACGTCGGAGCACAAGGTGTCGGAGGGCCAGACGGCGGAGACCCAGATGTCGAACACGATGATCGCTGGACCTGGAGATGATGAGATGGCGTCGCAGTCCGCGGAAACCCAGGCAAGGCCCCAGGACGGCTCAGGCCACATGAAGTGAGATTCGGCCTGTGTCCTGTGTCTGTGTCGGATTCTATTTCTTCTACAGCAGCCCTGTCGCCGACATGTGCTTATTTTTCCTGGACTGAGTCGGTAGTCAGCGCTTTGACTTTGGAGTTCGTAAGACCTAGGGAACAGGTCGATTCGTAGATCGTTTGGTTGTTGCCCTGTGCCGTACTAAGCAATAATAAACTATTTTCAACCGTAAACTAAGTTAAGCCGTAATTGATTTGTGCAAAGTTTGTCTGGCTGCTGCCGACTCAGTCTCTTCCCTCCAGCAGCCCACGTCGGAAGTCTGCTGCCGAGACGTGCTTTTTAATCCATTGAGTGAACTGAGTCGGTAGTCAGCTCTTTAGGCTAGAGATCGTAGGAACAGGTCGATTCGCAGATCGCTTGGTTCTTGGTGTGCTGTACTGTAATGTAAGTAAACTAACTTCAACCCTAAAAGTTAAGTAAAGCCTGAAGCGGTGCAACGTGCTGGCGCTGACTCAGTCTTTCCTCCAGCGGTCGGATTGTTTGACCTGATCGACCGCCGCTCTTGTGAAAACCAAGACTTTAAGTCAGTTGTCAATTGCACACCCTCGCGTTGCGTGGCACATGATTGACTTGAAGCCTGCTACTGCCTGCCTGCTGTTTGGCTCCAGAGCTGTCGCGACTGGGTCGAGAAGCAGTGCCTTGGTCAGCATCGCAGACAGAGAGAGAGAGAGAGAGAGAGAGAGAGTGACCGACTTTAAAAAGCATTGTATAAATCAAGGGTTCAACGATGCAAGGGGTCATGGCTGACTTGCAAGTGCTTGCTCAAACTACTTCCCCTAAACCGAAATAACTGGCAATGCTAATGCTAAGGGGCAGATGCACAAAAAGATCACGCAACATAATTCAAAGCTTACAGTATCCGCAAATTCCAGCAGTGCCTGCTAGATTTATTTTATTGCACAGCCACTGCAAATTTTAAAATTAGCCGACAACCAGGCCAGGAGCCTTTAAACAGCCGAAAA